GGCCCATGCTTGCAGTGCTTGGTTTATGCATGCTCTGCTGGCCCATGCTTGCAGTGCTTGGTTTATGCATGCACTGCTGGCCCATGCTTGCAGTGCTTGGTTTATGCATGCACTGCTGGCCCATGCTTGCAGTGCTTGGTTTATGCATGCTCTGCTGGCCCATGCTTGCAGTGCTTGGTTTATGCATGCACTGCTGGCCCATGCTTGCAGTGCTTGGTTTATGCATGCACTGCTGGCCCATGCTTGCAGTGCTTGGTTTATGCATGCTCTGCTGGCCCATGCTTGCAGTGCTTGGTTTATGCATGCACTGCTGGCCCATGCTTGCAGTGCTTGGTTTATGCATGCTCTGCTGGCCCATGCTTGCAGTGCTTGGTTTATGCATGCTCTGCTGGCCCATGCTTGCAGTGCTTGGTTTATGCATGCACTGCTGGCCCATGCTTGCAGTGCTTGGTTTATGCATGCACTGCTGGCCCATGCTTGCAGTGCTTGGTTTATGCATGCACTGCTGGCCCATGCTTGCAGTGCTTGGTTTATGCATGCACTGCTGGCCCATGCTTGCAGTGCTTGGTTTATGCATGCACTGCTGGCCCATGCTTGCAGTGCTTGGTTTATGCATGCACTGCTGGCCCATGCTTGCAGTGCTTGGTTTATGCATGCTCTGCTGGCCCATGCTTGCAGTGCTTGGTTTATGCATGCACTGCTGGCCCATGCTTGCAGTGCTTGGTTTATGCATGCACTGCTGGCCCATGCTTGCAGTGCTTGGTTTATGCATGCTCTGCTGGCCCATGCTTGCAGTGCTTGGTTTATGCATGCACTGCTGGCCCATGCTTGCAGTGCTTGGTTTATGCATGCTCTGCTGGCCCATGCTTGCAGTGCTTGGTTTATGCATGCTCTGCTGGCCCATGCTTGCAGTGCTTGGTTTATGCATGCACTGCTGGCCCATGCTTGCAGTGCTTGGTTTATGCATGCACTGCTGGCCCATGCTTGCAGTGCTTGGTTTATGCATGCACTGCTGGCCCATGCTTGCAGTGCTTGGTTTATGCATGCACTGCTGGCCCATGCTTGCAGTGCTTGGTTTATGCATGCACTGCTGGCCCATGCTTGCAGTGCTTGGTTTATGCATGCACTGCTGGCCCATGCTTGCAGTGCTTGGTTTATGCATGCACTGCTGGCCCATGCTTGCAGTGCTTGGTTTATGCATGCTCTGCTGGCCCATGCTTGCAGTGCTTGGTTTATGCATGCACTGCTGGCCCATGCTTGCAGTGCTTGGTTTATGCATGCACTGCTGGCCCATGCTTGCAGTGCTTGGTTTATGCATGCTCTGCTGGCCCATGCTTGCAGTGCTTGGTTTATGCATGCACTGCTGGCCCATGCTTGCAGTGCTTGGTTTATGCATGCTCTGCTGGCCCATGCTTGCAGTGCTTGGTTTATGCATGCTCTGCTGGCCCATGCTTGCAGTGCTTGGTTTATGCATGCACTGCTGGCCCATGCTTGCAGTGCTTGGTTTATGCATGCACTGCTGGCCCATGCTTGCAGTGCTTGGTTTATGCATGCTCTGCTGGCCCATGCTTGCAGTGCTTGGTTTATGCATGCACTGCTGGCCCATGCTTGCAGTGCTTGGTTTATGCATGCTCTGCTGGCCCATGCTTGCAGTGCTTGGTTTATGCATGCTCTGCTGGCCCATGCTTGCAGTGCTTGGTTTATGCATGCACTGCTGGCCCATGCTTGCAGTGCTTGGTTTATGCATGCACTGCTGGCCCATGCTTGCAGTGCTTGGTTTATGCATGCACTGCTGGCCCATGCTTGCAGTGCTTGGTTTATGCATGCACTGCTGGCCCATGCTTGCAGTGCTTGGTTTATGCATGCACTGCTGGCCCATGCTTGCAGTGCTTGGTTTATGCATGCACTGCTGGCCCGTGCTTGCAGTGCTTGGTTTATGCATGCACTGCTGGCCCATGCTTGCAGTGCTTGGTTTATGCATGCTCTGCTGGCCCATGCTTGCAGTGCTTGGTTTATGCATGCACTGCTGGCCCATGCTTGCAGTGCTTGGTTTATGCATGCACTGCTGGCCCATGCTTGCAGTGCTTGGTTTATGCATGCTCTGCTGGCCCATGCTTGCAGTGCTTGGTTTATGCATGCTCTGCTGGCCCATGCTTGCAGTGCTTGGTTTATGCATGCTCTGCTGGCCCGTGCTTGCAGTGCTTGGTTTATGCATGCACTGCTGGCCCATGCTTGCAGTGCTTGGTTTATGCATGCACTGCTGGCCCATGCTTGCAGTGCTTGGTTTATGCATGCACTGCTGGCCCATGCTTGCAGTGCTTGGTTTATGCATGCACTGCTGGCCCATGCTTGCAGTGCTTGGTTTATGCATGCACTGCTGGCCCATGCTTGCAGTGCTTGGTTTATGCATGCTCTGCTGGCCCATGCTTGCAGTGCTTGGTTTATGCATGCACTGCTGGCCCATGCTTGCAGTGCTTGGTTTATGCATGCACTGCTGGCCCATGCTTGCAGTGCTTGGTTTATGCATGCACTGCTGGCCCATGCTTGCAGTGCTTGGTTTATGCATGCACTGCTGGCCCATGCTTGCAGTGCTTGGTTTATGCATGCTCTGCTGGCCCGTGCTTGCAGTGCTTGGTTTATGCATGCTCTGCTGGCCCGTGCTTGCAGTGCTTGGTTTATGCATGCACTGCTGGCCCGTGCTTGCAGTGCTTGGTTTATGCATGCACTGCTGGCCCGTGCTTGCAGTGCTTGGTTTATGCATGCACTGCTGGCCCATGCTTGCAGTGCTTGGTTTATGCATGCACTGCTGGCCCATGCTTGCAGTGCTTGGTTTATGCATGCACTGCTGGCCCATGCTTGCAGTGCTTGGTTTATGCATGCTCTGCTGGCCCATGCTTGCAGTGCTTGGTTTATGCATGCTCTGCTGGCCCATGCTTGCAGTGCTTGGTTTATGCATGCTCTGCTGGCCCATGCTTGCAGTGCTTGGTTTATGCATGCACTGCTGGCCCATGCTTGCAGTGCTTGGTTTATGCATGCACTGCTGGCCCATGCTTGCAGTGCTTGGTTTATGCATGCTCTGCTGGCCCATGCTTGCAGTGCTTGGTTTATGCATGCACTGCTGGCCCATGCTTGCAGTGCTTGGTTTATGCATGCTCTGCTGGCCCATGCTTGCAGTGCTTGGTTTATGCATGCACTGCTGGCCCATGCTTGCAGTGCTTGGTTTATGCATGCTCTGCTGGCCCATGCTTGCAGTGCTTGGTTTATGCATGCACTGCTGGCCCATGCTTGCAGTGCTTGGTTTATGCATGCTCTGCTGGCCCATGCTTGCAGTGCTTGGTTTATGCATGCACTGCTGGCCCATGCTTGCAGTGCTTGGTTTATGCATGCTCTGCTGGCCCATGCTTGCAGTGCTTGGTTTATGCATGCACTGCTGGCCCATGCTTGCAGTGCTTGGTTTATGCATGCTCTGCTGGCCCATGCTTGCAGTGCTTGGTTTATGCATGCACTGCTGGCCCATGCTTGCAGTGCTTGGTTTATGCCCGCACTGCTGGCCCATGCTTGCAGTGCTTGGTTTATGCATGCACTGCTGGCCCATGCTTGCAGTGCTTGGTTTATGCATGCTCTGCTGGCCCATGCTTGCAGTGCTTGGTTTATGCATGCACTGCTGGCCCATGCTTGCAGTGCTTGGTTTATGCATGCACTGCTGGCCCATGCTTGCAGTGCTTGGTTTATGCATGCTCTGCTGGCCCATGCTTGCAGTGCTTGGTTTATGCATGCACTGCTGGCCCATGCTTGCAGTGCTTGGTTTATGCATGCTCTGCTGGCCCATGCTTGCAGTGCTTGGTTTATGCATGCACTGCTGGCCCATGCTTGCAGTGCTTGGTTTATGCATGCACTGCTGGCCCATGCTTGCAGTGCTTGGTTTATGCATGCTCTGCTGGCCCATGCTTGCAGTGCTTGGTTTATGCATGCTCTACTGGCCCATGCTTGCAGTGCTTGGTTTATGCATGCACTGCTGGCCCATGCTTGCAGTGCTTGGTTTATGCATGCTCTGCTGGCCCATGCTTGCAGTGCTTGGTTTATGCATGCTCTGCTGGCCCATGCTTGCAGTGCTTGGTTTATGCATGCTCTGCTGGCCCATGCTTGCAGTGCTTGGTTTATGCATGCACTGCTGGCCCATGCTTGCAGTGCTTGGTTTATGCATGCACTGCTGGCCCATGCTTGCAGTGGTTGGTTTATGCATGCACTGCTGGCCCATGCTTGCAGTGCTTGGTTTATGCATGCACTGCTGGCCCATGCTTGCAGTGCTTGGTTTATGCATGCTCTGCTGGCCCATGCTTGCAGTGCTTGGTTTATGCATGCACTGCTGGCCCATGCTTGCAGTGCTTGGTTTATGCATGCACTGCTGGCCCATGCTTGCAGTGCTTGGTTTATGCATGCACTGCTGGCCCATGCTTGCAGTGCTTCCCCATGTGTTCTCTGCTTGGTTTTTGCGTGCACTGCTGCCCTATTTGTGCACTGCTGTGCAATGAGAGGCTGCGAGCATTGCTGTTTTATGCTTGCACTGCTGCTGCCCCATGCGTGCCCTGCTTCCCCGTGCTTGCACGGGTTTTTCATGCTTACACTGCTACTTTCTTCTGCCCCATGAAGTTGGGATGCGGTCCGGGTGCTGTCTTCACGAGGTCTAGGCAACGACTGCAAGTACGGCTGAGGTTCTAATGGGGTCCAGGTTCGGTCTGGGTATAGTCTTCTGGAGGTCCGCCAATGACAGCCTCAGGTACGGCTTAGTCTTGGAGAGGTTTGGGTGGGGCTGAGGTGCGGTTTGGGTGCGGTCCACATGAGTTCCGGCAACGACTGCCTCAGGTACAGTTGAGGTTCGGGAAAGGGGTGGGTTGGGTCGGGGTGCGGTCCACTGGAGGTCCGGCAACGACTGCCTCATGTACGGCCGAGGTTTGGGGGAGGTTTGGGTGGGATCCAGGCTCGGCCCGACTGCGGTCCACATGAGGTCGGGCAACTACTGCCTCAGGTACGGTTGAAGCTCGGGAGAGGTCCGGGTGGGGTTGGGGTGTGGTCCAACGGAGGTTTGCCAGCGTATGCCTTGGGTATGGCTGAGGTTCGGGTGTATTTTTGTTTGGTTTTGTTTAGTTTTCTTGGTGCTGTCGTGCTTCTTTGGTTTTCTTGGTTTCTGTGTGCTGTTTGCAAAAGTGATATATATGTATATATATATATATACACCTTTTTTTTTTTCCCCTTTTCTACCGAGGCACAAGCTGCAGACATGATAGTGGATACAACTCCCTGCCCCCTGCAATTCTGTAAATCAGAAACCTGAAGTTATGAAAAACTGTCCCCCCACTGGAAAGTTGTTCCTCCTCCCCCCTCCCTTCCGTTTCCTCCCCAATGCCCCTAAATCCCCACAAGGCTAAAGTCGAACATTGCTTGGTGGTGCGCCTGCTGGTGGGGCCATGGACGGTGCGTCCGGCACGGAGCAGTCGTCGGACGGGCGGGAGGTGTCAGAACGGCGTGTGCGGCGAGTGGGAGTGCACAAGAGCGCGTCGGAGGCCAACATCACGGGAGCCGGGTTGCGGGGCGGCGGGTGGGTGTTGGCGGGGTCCATGGGGGCGTTGACGGGCGCGGGCAGCGGCAAGTGGGTGAACGGTTCGGCGATGAAGGCGCAGCTGCGCGCTGAGCAGGAGGAGCTGGCGTACCTGGGCATGGAGGCGGAGCGCATCGAGCGCAGTGGGGTCATCGACATCGTCAACCATGACCACCACGGCGCCAGCGGTGGCGGCTTCCCCAAGCACCTTAGCTGGAACTACCGCGGGCTGGACATCGCCCCCAGGGGCAGCAGTCGCGCCCAGGCAGGCGCCGACAGGGATAGCGGGGTAGGGGTGGAGGCGGTGCTGGCGTCGTGGGCGCAGGAGAGGCGCGAGTTGGAGGGCCAGGTGGGCGCACTGAAGGCGGAGCTGAAGCGCAAGGAGAGAGAGCTCAAGGCGGCGAGCAAGGCCAAGGAAGCGGCGGGCAGGGAGGTGGATGCGGTGTGGGGGCAGGTGAGCGCGGTGGAGGTGCAGCTGCACGAGGCGCAGGGCGACAAGTCAGCGCTGGAGAAGGAAATTGAGGGGCTGCGCGCGCTGCACGTGTCTCGTACGCATGACTCAGGAGATTCAGCGGGCGCGCAGGCAGCGGATACAGAGATGGCGGGCATGCTGAAGATGGTGGGCGACTTCTCCCGCCGACTCGCTCTTGCAGACGACGCCGTGCGACGCGCCGAGGCAAAAAATGACGATCTGTCGGGTATGCCATGTGTGGGGTGGAGGGGATGGAAGTGAAGCGGGGAACTGGGGCATGGAGAGGGTGAGGATGTTTGGGAGCCAGCGAGTGCATGTGCGTCCGTTTCACTTTCAGTCGTCTTGTACTCCTCACCCTCCACCGTTTTTTAGCGTCGCCGCACATATCCCTTTTTCGCGCACCGCTGCTTCTCCTGTCGCTTGTCCCGCGTACAATTTTCGCCACTGCGCTGTGCAGAGCTCTTGAAGGCGAGCGAGGCGGAACTGCGCGGAACAAGGGAGGCGCTGCGCACGGCGCAGGAGGAGCGGGACGCACTGGCGGCGGAGATGAAGGAGGCGCTGGACACGTGGGCGTGGACCGGCTGGGCACACCCCGCTGCCGCTCCTGCTGCTGCCACCCATAGCAGAGGGGGCAGCAGCGGCACCGGTGCCATGGGTGTGGCCGCATCGAGCACGTCCGCATGGAAGGGGTCGCCATGGGTTGAGCACACAGGGCCGGGTGGCGACGATGGTAGGGATGGCATGCAGCGGTGGCAGCTGCGTGTACGGGATATTGCTGGTGCGAGCCAGTGGGGAAGGGGTGGGTACAGTGCTGGTGGTGGCGTGAGCCGGCCACCCCGGGACCTCAAGGCGCGACCAGGTGCAGTTTGATGCCCTCGCGTGCAGCCCATCCCCGCCCCTGCCTTGACTTGCTGCTGCCCACCTCCTCCTGTGACAAACATCATCACGATTCACAACACTGGTCTATCTTGTGCTGGTGGAAGGTGTATCAACTGTTGCTGCGTCCAATGAGTCCCACTGTGCGCCCGTGTGCCCAATGCGCACAGTACTGGTCGCTGCACCAGGCCATGCCTTGTTATCCAACCTTCTCCACAACCTTGGATGTACAAAAAATGTCATAAAACAATCTGGTGTATGCACACGCGCTTTTTAACACGTGTGTTTGTTGTCAGAGTGGGAGTATGGGATTAAGGTATACATGGAGGTGCTCACAATGGTTCCCTCCCTCCCCACGAGTGCCATCAAGCACAGTGGGTATCATCATGAGTACCCGCAAGCATAGCACCAAGCAGCACCAAGCAAGCAACAACCCTACAATCAGTGTGTGCGCACAGCACAAGGTAACAGAGAGTCTAACCGAACAACCACCCAGAGCACGCGCATAGCGGCGTAGGGCACAGCTGGTCAGATTATGAGGCGTTTAGGGTATAGAAGCATTGGAGTACCATCAAGCACCAGGCACCCATTCCCCTGTCAGTGTAACACAGCCAGCCAGAGTGAGAGGCAGTCAGTGAGCGCGCATGGCGGTGTATGGCACAACGCCCCCCACCACATTGGGCTGGTCGTCCTGAGCGATGCCCGTGTCCCCCGCCCCCCTGCTGCGACTGCTGCGCCCTGCATCCGTGATGCCGCGCGCATGGTCCACTGCCAGTACCAATGCGATCAGCGGCAGCAGCATGACTGCCAGGATGTAGAAAAAGGACGCCCGTAGCTCCCCTGTAGCCTGTGGCAAGGGAGGTGGTGTGGTAAGGGCAGGGAGGGATGTGAGTGTGGGAGGCACCACGGCAATCCATGGCAGCAGCAGCAGCAGCAGCAGCAGCAGCAGCAGCAGCAGCAGCAGCAGCATGACTGCGAGGATGTAGAAGAAGAACGCTCGTAGCTCTCCTGTGGCATGGGGTAGGGCAGGGAGAGGAGGGGGATGTTAGAATGTGAATGAATGAACTTAGACCATACAGGGGGCTTTATTAAACAACTCGTAATCGCTACAGCAAACCTAAACCTAGCCTATAGAGTACCCATGTAAGCACAAATATGTATGCTGACAGGGGAGGTGGGTTATGAGGGCAGGGCGGTGTTTGAGGGTGGCATGGCATGTGACGTGATGAAGGCATGGCATGTGGTTGATGAACTGAAGCAACGGATGCATCAAAGCATGGCGCATGGCAGCATGTGGCTACAAATGACTCTTCCCACTCCCTGGCCCGCTTGTCCCCCGCACCCACAGCCACCTCAGCACAAGACAGCTACCAAGAGCCCTCCCCCCCCCTCCCCCCCCCGCAACCCCCCCCCCCCCCACACAATACACTCACCCCCAACGCCGACATGCACCCAAACCCACACCCACACCCAAACCCACACCCACACCCACACCCACACCCACACCCACACCCACACCCACACCCACACCCACACCCACACCCACACCCACACCCACACCCACACCCACACCCACCACCACCACCACCACCACACACACCCCATCCCACCCCACCGCACCCCACCTGCACTCCACCGCACTCCACCTCCACCGCCCCCCACCTGCACAATGACTGCCACGATGAATGGGCCGAGCCACGAGGAGCCCTTGTCGCTGACGGAGTAGAGAGAGAAGAAGGCACCCTCGCGGCCCACCGGGATCATATCAATGAAGAGTGTGCGCGAGTACGACGACAGCGGGCCCAGCAGCACCCCGAACCACCCCGCAAACACATACAGCTCCCACGCTGATTTCAACCCCACGCCTCCGTCTGGTGTGAGGTACCCGAGTAGGCCCCAGAGCGGGAGGGGAATCATCCCCGCTATAAGCACGCAGACCATGGCTTTATTGTGCAGCCCGGAGACGCGCTGCAGCCAGAAGGCCAGCGGCGTGCCGAGCAGCGCGAAGAGGAAGACGCAGCAGGCGAGCAGGACAGTGGCGGGCGTGGAGAGGCAGAGCTCTCGCTGCCCGAACAGCACGCCGATCTGCATGATGGTGGTGTAGCCGTCCGCGTACACGAAGTAGCACACCAGGAACGCAAACGCGTTGCGGTACCGCCGCGCCTCGGCGAGAATGGCGCCGAGATGGCGCCACCCAGAGAAGACTCGGAGAGGGGAGCCCGGGGGGAGGGCGGGGCCGGGGCGGGCTTTGAGGAAGGCGAAGGTGGGGAGGGCGAGGAGGATCCACCAGGCGCCGCAGAGGGCGACTGCAAGGCGGAGCTTGAGGGACGGCGAGGAGGTGAGGAACGTGGCGGCGAGCGCGAGGAGAGTCACGGCGATGGACGCGGCACTGGCACAGGCGACCGCTGTGAGGGAGAGACGATTCTCCACCTGATGGGGGGCGTGGGGGGGAACGGATGGGGGAGGTAGGGAGGGGGAGGAGGTTGGAAGCGTGGTGGTGAGAGCTAGAAGGGGTACGGTGATGGAGGCGACGGTGGCACGGGCCTGAGGGCGAGGCGATTCTCCACCTGGAGGGAGCGTGGGGGGGGACGGTTAGTGAAGCGGGGCAGGTTGGGGATGGGGATGGGGATGGGCCAGCGTGGCAGCGATTGCAAGGAGGGTGACAGCTATGGAGGCGGAGCTGTGACAGGCAACGGCCATGAGGGAGAGACAATTCCCTACCTGTGCAGGTGGGATGGTTTATTAGTTGCAGCAATGGAGGCAGCACTGGCACATGTGACCACGCTGAGAGACAGACAGCTTTTAACCTAATAACGAAAGGTGCAAGGGGGGACTTCTGGGGGATCAAATGGTGGCACGGTGGGGTCAGGGCCAAGAGAAGCGATTCTCTACCTCATGCGGGCAAGGGGGACCCAGTTGGGGAGGAGGAGGGCGGTAACGAAAGGTGAGTGGTGATGGGAGCGGTGGTGATGGGAGCGGTGGTGATGGGAGCGGTGGTGATGGGAAGGGATATGATTACTTGGATATGTAGAGAAATCCCAAGATGCTCTTCTCATCCTGCCCCCACCTGCTCCCTCGCCCCACCTGCCCCCTCGCCCCACCTGCTCCCTGGGTACAGTGGATTGATCTCACAAACCCCTTTGCACCCCGCCCCACCTGCTCTATCGCCCTTGCATGGATTTGATCCTAAGAACCCCGTTACACCCCGTCCCACCCCTTTGCACCCCCTCCCACCTGCTCTCGCATCTCCACCACCGCTTGCACCGGCAGCCCCGCTGCCTCCGCCTGTTGCACCTCGGGGGACGCGTCCACCAGCACTGCCAGGTAGCTGGGGGGAGGAGAAAAGGGGGTAGGGAATATGGGAAGGGGAGAAGGAGTGAGTGAGGGGTGTGGTGGGAGGAGTCGGAAGATGCAGTGTTAGAGGGGAGGGGGTGGGGAAACCTGCTGCACAGAGGGTGGGAAAGCGATGGCAGCAGTGGTGCCACCTGTAGTTAATTGGTGGTTCGAGTAATGGCATTTGGGCAACGGCAGGCAGAGTAGCAGCAGCAGGTCTGTAATCATCTCACCTGTAGTAAGCAACGGTGGTGATGCCTTCACCTGTAGTAAGCAACGGTGGCGATGCCGTAGCCGACATTGGAGATCACAAGCAGCAGCGCAGCGAGCCACCAGAGTGCTGGCGAGGCGAGGGCGAGGCAGAACAGACAAGCGGCGCCGCCCATGTACGTGCCCACCTGCAGTAGCTGTCAGAAGGAGGGGAGGGGGAGGGAGCGTGCAGACGAAAGAGTGAGGAAGGAAAGGGGCGAGAGCGGGAGGTGAGGGGCTGCAGCAGCGATACATGTAGGAGCACACGTTACACCATGAGACAGTACAAATGGCATGGCATGGCATGGCATGGCATGGCATGGCATGGCCGCCACATCCCCTCCCTTCCCTCCCACCCAACCCCTTCTTCCTCCTTCCCCGTCCCCCATCCTGCTCCCGTTCCCACTTCCCCCACGCTCCTCCCACCCACCCACCCACCCACCCACCCACCCACCCACCCACCCACCCCTACCTGTTTCCTCCCGCGCCCAAAGTCAGCGAGGGGGCCGACAGTGACAAACGCGGCGACCTCAAAGAGCACGGACACGCCCAGCATGGCTGTTGCAAACGACACGGGGTTAATGCTGCCTCCCCCGGCCAAGGGGATGCCTGGTACGGGGGCCTCAATGAACCTGTGGGTGACGGGGGCATGGGGGTGGGTGGGAGGCGAAGGCACCTCAAAGAGCACGGACACACCCAGCATGGTCGCCGCGAACGACACGGGGTTCATGGTACCGCCCCCCGCCACAGGTATCCCTGGCATGGGGGCCTCCGTCCGTGTTACCTGGTGGGTGGTAGAGGACGGCGGGTGGGTGGTAGAGGACGGCGGGTGGGTGGTAGAAATTTCTTTCACCTGGTTCATGCTGCCTCCGCCCGCCACAGGGATGCTCGATATGGGGGCCTCTGTGTACGTGCAAGGGTGGGCGGGGGGGGTCAGGGTTACGAACGAGCAAGGGAGTAGGGCGGCAGGCGGATGTGAAAGGGCTCCAGGGCGCGCGCAGATGGGGCGGGAAGAGAAGGGGGGGTTGAGGGGGGGGGACGGTTGGGGCGATGTGAAAGAGGATTCGTTCTCGGGCCGGTGAGGCACTTGGCGGAGCGGAGGGGGTGGGGAGAGAGGGTGGGATGCGTGAAGGGGATGAGGCTGATGGGGCAATTACAGCAGCCGTCCGTTCGCACCATCCCAAAGGCGGGATGCTGTAGCCGTTCACCCCTTTTGAGGCGCCTCTCAAATAACAGCAGCCGTGCGCCCCATCCCCGTCCCCGTCCCCGTCCCCCCTGTCGTTGCACCACGGGTGACGCCACGCCACTGGTGCTGGGCGCAGTGCGGAGCGATCAAGGGGAGGGCGATACAGCGGCCACCGACGCGCGCCAAGGGAGAGCTAGAGGAGAGGAGAGGGGGAGGAGGAGAGAGGCAAGCAAAGGGGCCGCTTCACTTGGCTCGACCGAGGTCTGCAGCTGCTTGCCTTCCCCCCATTTTCCTTGAGGTTTATTCTAAGAATTTTCAAAACCACTTTAAAAAAGCGCACTGCAGGCACTCGGTCACTCGCTCCCCTCAAGCATCCCCCCATTCCTCACCCCGACTACCCCCTCTCCCCAGGGCTGAGGGTTCCCCTTCAATTCCTCACCCCGCGGATGTCTGCAGCTGCGTGCCTTTTCCCCGTTGCAGGCACTCGCTCGTCACGTCGGCGCCACACGCAGGCCCTCACTTGCGTTCCCCAACCCCTCCCCGGGCATTCCTCACCCCGCTGACGTTTGAAGTTGAGTGCCTTTCCCCGGCACGCACTGCAAGCACTCGCTCGTCACGTCCGCGCTGCACGCGGGCGGCTGCGGCGACGCGGCGTGCTGCCACGCGAACTCGGATGCGAGCGCGACGAGGAGCAGGGGGAAGAAGATGGGCAGCGCGGCGGAGTAGAATCCCGCCACCGCCGCGTCGTACCCGTACCACGCCCACACCTGCCATGGATGGACGGATGCAAGGGGGAACGAGTGGAAAGACTTGAGCACTTCTTTTATCACACAGCCGCGTCGTACCCGAACCACGCCCACACCTGTCATGGATGGATGCAGGGGGGATGTCTAGTTTTGAGGCGCCTCTAAACTAGGAGCAGGGGGGACAAGATGGGCAGCGCGGCGGAGTAGAATCGAACACTTGTTTTATCCCGCCACCGCCGCGTCGTACCCGCACCACACCCACACCACGCCCACACACCTCGCGCTTCCCCGCGGGTGCCGCGCGCGAGCTCTCCCCGTCGATATCCATCGGCGCGAATCCCCCCGTCATCGCGCCGCGCTGGCGGCGGTTTCCCCGCGGCTGCTCAGTCGGCGGGTACTAACTTTGCGGCCGCCGGCGGCGGCGAGGGCCAAGCGAGGTGGCGGGGAGGTGGCGGGGAGGCGGCTATGGGCAAAGCGCGCAGCGGGCGGAAAACTGTGCGCGAATCAGCGCACGGTGCAGGAATGGAAGGCGCGGTGATAGGGTGGTGCGCGAGGCGGCAGTGGCGGGGGGAAGGTGAGATTTGGGAGCGCGGTGGAAGTATCAGTTGTGGCGCTTCTGTGAGTGTGGAGCCTCGAAGAATGGTGCAAGCGCGCTAGTGTTGAGTGGATTGACGGCAAAGTCGGCAAGGGGAATGCTACATCGACGTGTACTCGTTACACTCTAACAACGAACTTCTTTACACAAGTAAAATGACGAAGGTTTTGCACCCCATGCTTGGAAGCGCTGCTGCAATACATGTGGGCGTTCTAGTGTGCTACATCGCAATTTCAAAGAGAATATATAAATAAAGTGCCATGTTTTTTTTTTTTTCAGATTCCGTGCCTGCATTTCATGCTACAGTGGTGACTGTTGCGGCTTCAACGTCCAGCTCCACGAGAGCACCAATGGGCGCCACCCTGTTCTCGTTTGTGTGGCCAATGGGCAGCCCCGCCAGCACTGGCAGCCAATGAGGGAGCTCCACCTGTCCCAGCCAGAACCACTTGTCCCAGTCACCTCCATATTGCTTTGTCACAATTGGTCGAACACTGTCTGCGAGTGGGGAACGGGATGGGAGCGGGAGGGAATGTGAGGCTGTGGAGTGTCGAAGGGCATGGAGAATGACGGTCCAGGCAGGGCAGCAGTGTGAGGGGACGAGTGCAGGTAGCAGTGTGAGGGGACGAGTGCAGGCAGCAGTGTGAGGGGACGAGTGCAGGCAGCAGTGTGAGGGGACGAGTGCAGGCAGCAGTGTGAGGGGACGAGTGCAGGCAGCAGTGTGAGGGGACGAGTGCAGGCAGCAGTGTGAGGGGACGAGTGCAGGCAGCAGTGTGAGGGGACGAGTGCAGGCAGCAGTGTGAGGGGACGAGTGCAGGCAGCAGTGTGAGGGTACGAGTGCAGGCAGCAGTGTGAGGGGACGAGTGCAGGCAGCAGTGTGAGGGGACGAGTGCAGGCAGCAGTGTGAGGGGACGAGTGCAGGTAGCAGTGTGAGGGGACGAGTGCAGGCAGCAGTGTGAGGGGACGAGTGCAGGCAGCAGTGTGAGGGGACGAGTGCAGGCAGCAGTGTGAGGGCACGAGTGCAGGTAGCAGTGTGAGGGGACGAGTGCAGGCAGCAGTGTGAGGGGACGAGTGCAGGCAGCAGTGTGAGGGGACGAGTGCAGGCAGCAGTGTGAGGGGACGAGTGCAGGCAGCAGTGTGAGGGGACGAGTGCAGGCAGCAGTGTGAGGGCACGAGTGCAGGTAGCAGTGTGAGGGGACGAGTGCAGGCAGCAGTGTGAGGGGACGAGTGCAGGCAGCAGTGTGAGGCACATCAAAGCAGCTCCCACACCAGCCATGCAGTCCCTTGAGGTGACAGACAGCACCCCATGCACCACATGCCCCCTGTGCGCCCCGTACCACCCTATTCGGCCCATGCACCCCATGCACCCCATGCACCCCATGCACCCCATGCACCCCATGCACCCCATGGTCCCCATGCAACCCATGCACCCCCATGCACCCCATGCACCCCATGCACCCCATGCACCCCATGGTCCCCCCGTGAATACCTCGGGCCTCTTCACTCATGCCCTGGAAGTTGGAGAAGCTTCCCAGAACCAGCCCCGAGAGGGCCGGCACATGGCCCTGTATCCCATGCCCTGAGCCCGTGCAGCAGGCAGCATGGGCGTGATGGTGGGGGCCCATGCCCTTCCATGGCGCATGGGTGGCAGCAGCATGGGTGGCAGCATGGGCGGCAGCGGCATGTGAGTGGGTGCAAGCTCCGGTGTGAAGGGGAGGAGGGGCGGAGGGCAGCAGCGACGGCAACAGCTGATGCAGCATGCGATCCACCCGGTACTCCTCCTCCCCCACTGCCACATCGCATGGGCAGCACGGGCAGCACAGAGAATAAAGAGGCCGGATGGGAAGATTTGAGGAATGTGACTGGGACTACGGAGGCATGGCAGTGGCTACACATTGCAGCAAAGGGGGGGAGTGGTGCAAGGTTGCATGGCAGGAAGAGCAGAACGTTGTATTATGTGTCGCAATCATGATGAACACAGCAATACTACCGTCGGTCCGGCCAAGGTAAACCAAACGTATGGTTTCACCAAGCGAAGAAGGCATGGCAGCCAAGCGAGGGCAGAAGTCACACCATTCCTAGCAGATCATGAACATGTCACCCCATCCCATCCCATCCCAACCCATCCCAACCCATCCCATCCCATCCCATCCCATCCCATCCCATCCAAACCCATCCCATCCCATCCCATCCCATCCCATCCCATCCCATCCCATCCCATCCCATCCCATCCCATCCCATCCCATCCCAACCCATCCCATCCCATCCCATCCCATCCCATCCCATCCCATCCCATCCCATCCCATCCCATCCCATCCCATCCCATCCCATCCCATCCCATCCCATCCCATCCCAACCCATCCCAACCCATCCCATCCCATCCCATCCCATCCCATCCAAACCCATCCCATCCCATCCCATCCCATCCCATCCCATCCCATCCCATCCCATCCCATCCCATCCCATCCCATCCCATCCCATCCCATCCCAACCCATCCCATCCCATCCCATCCCATCCCATCCCATCCCATCCCATCCCATCCCATCCCATCCCATCCCATCCATCCCATCCCATCCCATCCCATCCCATCCCAACCCATCCCATCCCATCCCAACCCATCCCATTCCATCCGATCCCATCCGATCCCATCCCATCCCAACCCATCCCAACCCATCCCATCCCATCCCATCCCATCCCATCCCATCCCATCCCATCCCAACCCATCCCATCCCATCCCATCCCATCCCATCCCATCCCAACCCATCCCAACCCATCCCATCCCATCCCATCCCATCCCATCCCATCCCATCCCATCCCATCCCATCCCATCCCATCCCAACCCATCCCATCCCATCCCATCCCATCCCATCCCATCCCATCCCATCCCATCCCAACCCATCCCAACCCATCCCATCCCATCCCATCCCATCCCATCCCATCCCATCCCATCCCATCCCATCCCATCCCATCCCATCCCATCCCATCCCATCCCATCCCATCCCATCCCATCCCATCCCATCCCAACCCATCCCAACCCATCCCAACCCATCCCATTCCATCCGATCCCATCCCATCCCATCCCATCCCATCCCATCCCATCCCATCCCATCCCATCCCATCCCATCCCATCCCATCCCATCCCATCCCATCCCATCCCATCCCAACCCATCCCAACCCATCCCATTCCATCCCATTCCATCCCATCCGACGCTTGCATCAGGTGGCATAGCATCAGACGTGTCGACTCTCACCATCGTCCAGCATCAGAATCACACCATCACTGCCCCCCGTGCCATCACTGTCCCCCGCACCCCCCACCACCGCTGCTACAGCTGCAGCGACACATGCCCTGACGCCCCGCCGCCCATTTGGACCCCACCAGCGACGCCAGAACAGACAGATTGCCGCCCAGCAGCCTCCCCTGCACTCGGTTTGGGTGGCAGCAAGAGGATGCGCCGCCCAGCCAGCCCCTCTGGAGGCAGCGGCCCTGGAATGGGATGGGGGGGAGGCGGAGGGGGTTGAGAGAGGAGGAAATACAGGGGGAGAAAGGAGGAAATACCGGGGGAGAAAGGAGGAAATACAGGGGGAGAAAGGAGGAAATACAGGGGGAAAAAGGAGGAAATACAGGGGGAGAAAGGAGGAAATACAGGGGGAGAAAGGAGGAAATACAGGGGGAGAAAGGAGGAAATACCGGGGGAGAAAGGAGGAAATACAGGGGGAGAAAGGAGGAAATACAGGGGGAGAAAGGAGGAAATACAGGGGGAGAAAGGAGGAAATACAGGGGGAGAAAGGAGGAAATACAGGGGGAGAAAGGAGGAAATACAGGGGGAGAAAGGAGGAAATACAGGGGGAGAAAGGAGGAAATACCGGGGGAGAAAGGAGGAAATACAGGGGGAGAAAGGAGGAAATACCGGGGGAGAAAGGAGGAAATACAGGGGGAGAAAGGAGGAAATACAGGGGGAGAAAGGAGGAAATACAGGGGGAGAAAGGAGGAAATACAGGGGGAGAAAGGAGGAAATACAGGGGGAGAAAGGAGGAAATACCGGGGGAGAAAGGAGGAAATACAGGGGAGAAAGGAGGAAATACAGGGGGATAAAGGAGGAAATACAGGGGGAGAAAGGAGGAAATACAGGGGGAGAAAGGAGGAAATACCGGGGGAGAAAGGAGGAAATACAGGGGGAGAAAGGAGGAAATACAGGGGGAGAAAGGAGGAAATACAGGGGGAGAAAGGAGGAAATACAGGGGAGAAAGGAGGAAATACCGGGGGAGAAAGGAGGAAATACCGGGGGAGAAAGGAGGAAATACAGGGGGAGAAAGGAGGAAATACAGGGGGAGAAAGGAGGAAATACCGGGGGAGAAAGGAGGAAATACCGGGGGAGAAAGGAGGAAATACAGGGGGAGAAAGGAGGGAATACAGGGGGAGAAAGGAGGAAATACAGGGGGAGAAAGGAGGAAATACCGGGGGAGAAAGGAGGAAATACAGGGGAGAAAGGAGGAAATACAGGGGGAGAAAGGAGGAAATACAGGGGGAGAAAGGAGGAAATACAGGGGGAGAAAGGAGGAAATACAGGGGAGAAAGGAGGAAATACAGGGGGAGAAAGGAGGAAATACAGGGGGAGAAAGGAGGAAATACAGGGGGAGAAAGGAGGAAATACAGGGGGAGAAAGGAGGAAATACCGGGGGAGAAAGGAGGAAATACCGGGGGAGGAAGGAGGAAATACAGGGGGAGAAAGGAGGAAATACAGGGGGAGAAAGGAGGAAATACAGGGGAGAAAGGAGGAAATACAGGGGGAGAAAGGAGGAAATACAGGGGGAGAAAGGAGGAAATACCGGGGGAGAAAGGAGGAAATACAGGGGGAGAAAGGAGGAAATACAGGGGGAGAAGGAGGAAATACAGGGGGAGAAAGGAGGAAATACAGGGGGAGAAAGGAGGAAATACAGGGGGAGAAAGGAGGAAATACCGGGGAGAAAGGACGAAATACAGGGGGAGAAAGGAGGAAATACAGGGGGAGAAGGAGGAAATACAGGGGGAGAAAGGAGGAAATACAGGGGGAGAAAGGAGGAAATACCGGGGGAGAAAGGAGGAAATACAGGGGGAGAAAGGAGGAAATACAGGGGGAGAAAGGAGGAAATACAGGGGGAGAAAGGAGGAAATACCGGAGGAGAAAGGAGGAAATACAGGGGGAGAAAGGAGGAAATACCGGGGGAGAAAGGAGGAAATACCGGGGGAGAAAGGAGGAAATACCGGGGGAGAAAGGAGGAAATACAGGGGGAGAAAGGAGGAAATACCGGGGAGAAAGGAGGAAATACAGGGGGAGAAAGGAGGAAATACCGGGGGAGAAAGGAGGAAATACCGGGGGAGAAAGAAGGAAATACAGGGGGAGAAAGGAGGAAATACAGGGGGAGAAAGGAGGAAATACCGGGGGAGAAAGGAGGAAATACAGGGGGAGAAAGGAGGAAATACAGGGGGAGAAAGGAGGAAATACAGGGGAGAAAGGAGGAAATACCGGGGAGAAAGGAGGAAATACCGGGGGAGAAAGGAGGAAATACAGGGGGAGAAAGGAGGAATACAGGGGAGAAAGGAGGAAATACAGGGGGAGAAAGGAGGAAATACAGGGGGATAAAGGAGGAAATACAGGGGGAGAAAGGAGGAAATACAGGGGGAGAAAGGAGGAAATACAGGGGGAGAAAGGAGGAAATACAGGGGGAGAAAGGAGGAAATACAGGGGGAGAAAGGAGGAAATACCGGGGGAGAAAGGAGGAAATACAGGGGGAGAAAGGAGGAAATACAGGGGGAGAAAGGAGGAAATACAGGGGGAGAAAGGAGGAAATACAGGGGGAGAAAGGAGGAAATACAGGGGAGAAAGGAGGAAATACAGGGGGAGAAAGGAGGAAATACAGGGGGAGAAAGGAGGAAATACAGGGGGAGAAAGGAGGAAATACCGGGGGAGAAAGGAGGAAATACCGGGGGAGGAAGGAGGAAATACAGGGGGAGAAAGGAGGAAATACAGGGGGAGAAAGGAGGAAATACAGGGGGAGAAAGGAGGAAATACAGGGGGATAAAGGAGGAAATACAGGGGAGAAAGGAGGAAATACAGGGGGAGAAAGGAGGAAATACCGGGGGAGAAAGGAGGAAATACCGGGGGAGAAAGGAGGAAATACAGGGGGAGAAAGGAGGAAATACAGGGGGAGAAAGGAGGAAATACAGGGGGAGAAAGGAGGAAATACAGGGGGAGAAAGGAGGAAATACAGGGGGAGAAAGGAGGAAATACAGGGGGAGAAAGGAGGAAATACAGGGGGAGAAAGGAGGAAATACAGGGGGAGAAAGGAGGAAATACCGGGGGAGAAAGGACGAAATACAGGGGGAGAAAGGAGGAAATACAGGGGGAGAAAGGAGGAAATACAGGGGGAGAAAGGAGGAAATACAGGGGGAGAAAGGAGGAAATACCGGGGGAGAAAGGAGGAAATACCGGGGGAGAAAGGAGGAAATACAGGGGGAGAAAGGAGGAAATACCGGGGGAGAAAGGAGGAAATACAGGGGGAGAAAGGAGGAAATACCGGGGGAGAAAGGAGGAAATACCGGGGGAGAAAGGAGGAAATACAGGGGGAGAAAGGAGGAAATACCGGGGAGAAAGGAGGAAATACAGGGGAGAAAGGAGGAAATCCCGGGGGAGAAAGGAGGAAATACAGGGGGAGAAAGGAGGAAATACCGGGGGAGAAAGGAGGAAATACAGGGGAGAAAGGAGGAAATACCGGGGG